CGGCCCCTAGGCCCGCCGCTCGCTCAGGCCTGGGCGCAGGCCGGCGCTGGAGCCCCGTGGCCTGGCGGGGCAGAGCAGGGCGCTGCGGCGGGTTCTTCTGCGGCCCCGGGGAGTCGAAGTTGGGGCCGGCAGTCCTCGGGGGGCGTAGGCACGCCGTCTCTGCACGCCGTCTCTGCCCGCCTCCGGGGCGAGCAGGACGCGCACAGCGGCGGAGCAGCGCTTACAGAGCCGCGGTGCCCCTTCGGCAGAGGAGCTGGTGGCCGCAGCCTTAGGTACACGGCATTACGCTTGTTCTAAAGGTCGTTTGGGGTATTAGGGGCGTCCCCTCGTCGCCGAGTGCAGCTGGGCGCGGGGAATGGCCAGCAGGTCCCGTAGTGGTGCAGAGTGTAACGCTGTGAGCTTTTTCTCTCTCAGAACCAGTCCTGCTCCTTGTTGGCCATCCATAGCGTTGCTTGACGGCGGTCTGGGTCAGCAAAGGCTGATATGGTGCTCCGTTAAAGAATAGAGCTGCGCGCTCGCGCTGCAGCCGGGATCCTTGGTGCTGTCCGGTTCTCTCACACCGCGGCCCGAGTGCTTTGGGGGAGTACTTAGAGAGAGGAAGCTTATTTCTGATCTCCAAGTACTTCAGGACATGTTTGTCCCCAAGCTGCAGGGCCCCAGGGCAGTCCAGAAGGACCTGGCAGTCTTCTCGAGGCACACATCCCAGGTGCTGTCTGCCTGGGGCTGAGGTGGGACTTGAAATTGGTCCGTGTGTGAGAGTTTCTGGTACTTGCCTGTTAATAACAGCGGTTGGGGATTTAAAAGATCTTCAGTGCAGAAACTGCCTCATCCTGACAAAGTTAATTAAGAAGCTGATCTACAAGAGAGAAATGTGTGGAGGAAGCCTCGGTAGTCTGAGAGAATGAGAAAACGTAGGCAGGCAATTGCCTTACTACCTTTTTATTGTTGGTGTGGTAACATCCCTGAAATGCCCAGGAGAGTCATCCATGGGCTGTGATTAATAGAGCTGCCAATATTTTATTAACCTGGCTTTACTGTAAATGTGGCATTGGGAGGAAACGTCACGTTTTACAACACTCTTGTATTTAGTTGTAAGCTGGGGCCAGACTGACAGAAAACTCAATAACCTAGAGCCTCCCCTAAAGTGTTGGGGGGGGGGGGGGGCGGTGTTACACCCCGAGTGTGTAGGAATGGGCTGATGCGCTGCGTCTGCCCAATGGGAGCACTGAGAGTCCTCATTCAGGATAACACAGGAACAGAAAACCGACCGGAGAGAGAGAAAAGCAGAGGTAGCTCTGCTTTTAGTATAGTTCAGTTCCTGGTGCTGGTCACAGAAAAAGACTTTGAATTGTGTTTAGGGAGAATCAGCTGGCTGCGTGGTACACGTGGAGATGAAACATAGTTGGAAACAATCCTTTCTTTGAGTGAGTCGTGCCGCGCTGGGCTTGCCAAGGCTGTGCGGTGTGGGAGGCCTGGCTAACCAGCACTTGCCTTCTCCACAGGTGCTGTTGGCAGCAGCCGTCTGCACAAAGGCGGGGAAGGCCATCGTCTCCCGGCAGTTCGTAGAGATGACTCGGACCCGCATCGAGGGGCTGCTGGCGGCTTTCCCGAAGCTGATGAACACGGGGAAGCAGCACACTTTTGTGGAAACGGAGAGTGTGCGGTATGTCTATCAGCCGATGGAGAAGCTCTACATGGTGCTGATCACCACCAAGAACAGCAACATCCTGGAAGACCTAGAAACACTCCGACTCTTCTCTAGGGTGGTAAGTGTGTGTCGCTTAATACAGAGTTTGCACGTGTGTAGCCTGAAACAGTGCCGTTGTAAGGGAACCTGTTGGTGAGCTGGTGCTGAAGTGCTGTCTGCCTCCACCTGGCAACTTGATTTTCCAGGGCCTCTTCCTGACCTGGAAGTAAGCTTTGATGTTTCGGTGGTATTTTTGAACAACATGTAAAAAAAAAACCAAAACCAAACCTCGGTTACGTTTCAGCTAGTGAGACCAAAGGGGGGATGTTGTAAATTTAGCATTAAATGTTCCCTGTATTCTTAAGATAACACCCATATTCCTCTGAAAAATAACATGACCTTACCGTACGGGATTGTTAGAAGTACAGCGCTGCTTTATATGCATTTCTAAGCAGCGAGTTTGTGCAGCTGTCTTCATGCAAGCAAAGGACCTTCAGGAAATTCACTGGCCCCAACGTGTGTTTGGGTTCCTCTGAGTTAGTGTTAGAATTAAGCTTAGAGGTTGTATTATAAGTATCTTAGTGGAGAAAAACTAATAACGGCAAAACTTCGTCTTGTTGTTTATTGACGATGTCAAGTCACGAAGAGCACCTTGGTGGAGCGCCGCTCTCCTGGAGGGTCTAGCGCAGCTGTGAGGTCTGGGGATAGTAGAGAGAAAATGCTTGTGCGGTATTGTCTACGGATACTCCTTTAAAATGTTTTCCCCTAACTAGATCCCTGAATATTGTCGAGCTCTGGAGGAGAATGAGATCTCCGAACACTGCTTCGACCTGATTTTTGCCTTTGATGAAATTGTTGCCCTGGGCTACCGTGAGAACGTAAACCTGGCACAAATTCGGACCTTCACTGAGATGGACTCGCATGAAGAAAAGGTGTTCCGAGCTGTCCGAGAGGTGAGTAGGAATAACTGCAAGCCTGGTGTGAGGTAACCTGTCTGGGAAACGCTGCCTTTTTTTTTTTTTTTTTTTTTATACAAAGGCGTTACTCCACTTTGTTGGGTGTCGTAAAGTTATTTAGCTTTCCTGTAAACTAAATGCCCATCTCTTGTTTCCTTGTTCTTTGCAAAGAGTTTAGGGCCACGTGCACTTAGTTGCTGTGCAGAATAAGATTGAGATTGCAAAGCTCTATCAGCCTCTTGTCTTCTGCTTCAGACTCAGGAACGTGAAGCGAAAGCTGAGATGCGCCGTAAAGCAAAGGAATTGCAGCAGGCCAGGAGGGACGCGGAGAGACAGGGCAAAAAGGCACCGGGTTTCGGCGGCTTTGGTAGCTCAGCCGTGTCTGGAGGCACGACGGCAGCGATGATCACAGAGACCATCATTGAGACGGAGAAGCCCAAAGTGGCACCAGCGCCTGCCAGGTAGGTGTGCAGTAGGGAGCAAGTGTTCCTTGGAGCTGGCTGTGGCTGAAACCACATGCCCAAATAAAGGCTCTCTAACGTGGGTTCTTTGTCTGTGTGGCCCTCCGTTCGGTCACTGGGCAGATAGAGATCGTCATGCCTTTGTAAAGCCTCCCCTTAGCTTTGACCTGTGAGCCTTTAATGTGGCTGCTTGTAGGCCGGTATATGTTCTCAAGACCCCCCCTTTATTACTAAGAAGCGTTTGGTGCTGTGTACCACAGTCACATCCCCTAGTCTCTCTGGAGTCTTTGATGAGCAATGGGATTCTCATTTTGTGCAAGAAAGAGGTCCCAGCTGCTCGTAATATGCAGAACTGGGTCCAGATCTAAATTACACTGTAGCACCCTACGCGTAAGATCGTCAATTCCGTGCGCGTTCTCCCCTAGAAAAAGGCTGCTGAGGTGAACACTGTATTGTTGGGGTAGTCAAGGTGCAACACTGGAAGGTAACTGAGGAAGGAGAAATCTGTTGCCACGGGCTGACTTGGAGATTCTTACACCTTCTGTTTAGGCCTTCAGGTCCCAGCAAAGCCTTGAAACTTGGCGCTAAGGGGAAGGAGGTGGACAACTTTGTGGACAAGCTGAAATCGGAAGGAGAAAATATCATGACTTCAGTAGGCAAGCGCTCTACAGAAGCGGCCAAAGTTCTTGCTCCTCCTGTTAACATGGAGAGGTAGGTACTGTCCTTGTGTTGAAAGCGGTCTCCTCTCAGCTCTCTGCGATGCACATGTTGCTTCGTGAGTTAGCTTCCTTTTTCATTTTCAGAACAGGCTTTTTCCTGCTGTTCAGTTCTGTGTGCTCACACAGCCTGTTAATTTTAAAAGATGGTGGGCAAAATCTCGGAAAGCACAGCAGCAAAAAAGCAGATGGCTAGTTTGATGAGGCATCACCTTAACTAACATGGGATGTACATCCATTGTTTAGCTGAGATTGGGAATTTTCCTATGCCTTTTTCCCTTAAAATAGCTGCCGTTTTTCCTGCTCCCCAGACACAAAGAGTTCCTGCCTTATTGCGGCTTAGGATGGAATCGTTCGCGGTTTGTTTTACAAGTAGCAATTCAGAACCTTTTAGTGCCGTGAGCCATGCTGCTGTATGGCAGAGGGATCTTGAGTGAACAGCACATCGAGATGCTGTATCTTTGCTGTTTATCTGGGCTTCCATCGGTTGCAGACCTGCCTGCCCCCGAGTTAACCTGTCGGAGCAGTATTAGCATCCACTGTGCCATCCGTGGTATTCCGTTCGGGGCCATCACGTTCTTGGAAGCACCTGCACGTTACATTTAGCCTGTCCTTGCTGAGCGCTAATCTCTCATCTTGTCTGTTAGAAGTCAAGCGTAGGGCTTGAGATACCTGCTTTTTTTCTGTCTGTCTAGTGTGCACATGAAAATAGAGGAGAAAATTTCCTTGACTTGTGGCCGTGACGGAGGGTTGCAGAACATGGAGCTGCATGGCATGATCATGCTGCACATTTCCGATGAAAAGTTTGCACGGATTCGCCTGCATGTAGAAAATGAAGACAAGAGGGGAGTGCAGCTACAGGTAAAGCCTGTTTGGCGTCCTGTGCTATCGAACGTGCTTTTGCTGCTCTCCGGGGCAAAAAGTTGAAAATACTCGAGTGTGTTACTGTCCCGTGTTCTTGCCCAAGCTGCCTCAGTGAATATGTTGAAAATGGGAGTAGTCACAGCAGATGTTACTGCAGCGTAAATGCAGGGCCAGCTCGTGCTCAAAAGACTGAAGTTCACTTGAGAAATCTGGTCTCGTGCACGCACTTACCTTCCTGCCCTCAGAGCCTTATCTGTCGAGTAACGCACATTGGCATGCCATCTGATCTCACTTGGACTTTGCAGCAGCCTGGTGTGTTGCCTGCTGCTCGTTCATATGATGCGAGCTTTAGTTGTGCAGTGGGAGTATTAGAATAAACTTAACTGTCCCAATGAAGAATTAATTTATTATCTAGAAAGCCATTTCTTCTCGGGGTCACTTGTGTCCTGTCACTGCTGTGTCAGAGACGATTGCTGGAGCCCTTGATTGCAGCCAGCGACAGCAGCTCAGAAGATTCTGGAGACATGCCTTCCCCTTTCTTCCTGTCTGCTTCTGTGACCTTCTTGGTCTGGAGATTGCGCTGCTTTGATACACTCTTTTGCTCCCTCCTCCTCGCCAAAAGCTTGTCTGTACATAGCTAGGTGGCTGCAGGTCTGCTCAGACTGTAGCAGGTTCTTTATCAGCGCATCTCATGAGCGAGTTCCTAACAATGCTGTCACATGTGCTGCTTCAGGTGGAAGACAAGATCAACCCCAGTGCTGACTCCTGTCTTTCTAGTGCAACTTGAATGTTGACTTGCAAAAATCCTCTGCCTCTAAAAAGCTGCTTACGGTTGCTGTTGTGAAGATAGAATACTTAAGTTGAGTTTGGCTGCTGACGTCTATACCCACTGAGGTTGCTGGGGGAAGTAGTCTTTTTGCGGTTTCAGGATGCTCTTCCCAGCAGCACTAGGTTGTTTTTTCTTCAAGAGAAGTGTCCATTGTGGGTCTTCAGGGTGGTCTTTGAGATTTTTAAGAGTTGTTATAGTTGTTCTGTAGGTATCAGCCCAGGAGATGCATTGCTAGAGTCTCTGGCGCAGCGGCATGTAAAAACAGCAGTGGTGTGGATTCTTCTTAGTGGGTCAGCAGTTTCTGGAAGGAATCCCAAGTCGATAAGCAGATGTGCTCCAGTTGGGCTTCTGAGCCAGGAGCAAAACTGATGCGTATTTTGTCAGGGAAAATACTCTGGGATGCGTAGGCCTGTCTTCCTAGAACCCGCGTTACCTGCATAGGGTTCTCTCCTTAGGCTTGAGAGTTACAGCCTGGGCATATGTTCCCCTTTCAGACTCATCCAAACGTGGACAAGAAGCTCTTCACCGCAGAATCGCAGATTGGTTTGAAGAACCCAGAGAAGTCATTCCCTATTAACAGTGACGTGGGTGTGCTGAAGTGGAGGTTGCAGACCACGGAAGAGTCCTTCATTCCATTGACAAGTGAGTGCAAGGGTGCCTCTGGGGGCTCGGGCACAAGAGGCTGATGTTCATCCACAGGCTGCCAGCTTGTAGCCTGCCTTGCAGCAGCTGGGCTGCCTCTGGAGTGTGGCACCTTGTGAGATGCCAGAGATAACTGTGGGTCTTCCATTGGATAGTAGCTGTTGTTCTCGGCAGCATCTGTTTTCTGTAATACTCTTGAAGAAAACACAAGGCTTTTCTTCAAGTCAGAATTTCTTTGCTGCGCTTTTTGGAGTGCATCACTTTTTGGAAGCCTGTTCCGTGTAGAAAGCTGGTGTGGTTCACCATAGTGTTTCTGTGCCCTCAGTTAACTGCTGGCCATCAGAAAGCGGGAACAGTTGTGATGTTAACATTGAATATGAGTTGCAAGAGG